AGGATTGATTATCAGGGTCATCCTTTACAGAAAACCTGGCATCAGCATGGTTATGACACTGCTTGGGTCCCTGCAAACTGTGGAATGGTATCCAGTGGATTAGAAGAGGACTGTGTTTATGATCCAAGCCGGATCAGGGTTCTAGAGATTTTTCCAAATTAAAATGCTAGAACCTTTGCCTTATAGCTTTATTTTTATGACCTAAATTGTAATGGAAACTAAAAAAGACATTGCAGATATGTCCTTCCACTAAGTCTTGCCAAATGGTTTATCTGTAAAAACTTTGTTTAAATGAATGAATGAATGAATCAATCAATCATTCATAAATTAAAAAAATAAATATAGCTGTATACTTGTATGCCAGTGTAAGTCAGCCTTTATTTATAAAGCACATTTATAAACATCAGATGTTACTGTACACTTTAAGAATAGTTTTTAAACTTAAGGCACAATCAGCTGACTTTGAGACTCAATAAAAACCTATTTGCATGTCTTTGTTATCAGTTCTTCAGTTTCAGGTTTACTGTGATGAGCACTATTATTGACTCAATTGACTTTCCAAGTGAGAAACATATAGCAGCTACACAAAACAAATAAGAAAATAGATTTGCGTTTCCATTTGTATTGTTATTGTTATTATTATTGTCATAGTTTTGTTGTTCTTAATATTTTATTTTATTTATTATTGTCGAAAAAGTAGAACTAAAATATGAGAAATAAAATCAACAGGAAAAAAGACATACTTTTAAGTTGGTTTCTATTGCTCTTTTTTTATTGCTATTAAAAACTTCTGAACACGTGTCTTTTTCAATTTCAGTGTCAGTATAACTAGTGGCATATGAGTCACGCAGAGCATCTGTTACAGAAGTTATCACTGCATTGGGGCTTTCCAGACTACATACATAAATGCTCATACAATGCATACTTCAAAAAATCAATCAATCAATCAATCAATCCTCTTTTGTGGCTCCATGCACCAACTTACAAGATAAAAATGTAATCTTAGTGAGGACCTTCTAATTTTTAGAGGTTACTTGCCATGCTTGGTATTTAATCATCAAAGCAAATTGTGACGATGTCAACAAGTCTAATTCAAATGATAATTCAAACCAAAGTACTGAAAAGCTCGTGTTGTACTTTTCTCCTGCTGAATTCCCCTGAAATAATTTGATCAGTTATAGTAAGTACAGCCACATGCTATCCAGCAAAAATAAACCATTTCGCATCAAATCAGTGGTAAAAAAAAAAAAGTCCACATTTGTGGTGACTGTCTGACAAGGTTTGAAAACTGAATGGATTATTTGGTGATACTTCACTTAACAGGAACTACTTTTGTAATGAATCTTATGTAGAGTGCTCATTATGTTTTCGAAGTCCTGTTTTTTTCGTAGTTAAATAGTTTTAAAAGAGTGACACCATCCAACTCAAAAGGTGAAACTGAAAGTACAGTACAAACAGTTTATAGACAGATTCTTTACGCTTTTATGACTCAAGCTCCTAAATGAAAATATTTGATCCCTGAATAGCTTCAAAAACCAGTCTGTATTGCGTTTGACCTATGCAGCAAGACAGGTATTCTAAAGTAGAATACAGAATAAAATGAAGAAACGTCATGCATTCAATGTATTTTACATTGGTCATATCAGTCTTACACAATTTAAATGACAGTTCGCAGGAAGGTTGCGTTTATAGTTTTCTATGAGCTTAATCAACTTCAGTAAAAAAAATTTAAAAAGTGTATTGAAGCTTTATGTTTTGACTACCATTACCTACCTTAGTGTCACCTCAATGAGGATAGGATAACATAACATCTTTCAAGTATTCATTCATTGAAATGCTAAGACAAAGGAAGAATTTTTTTTAAACTTCCTCCTTCTAAGATTCAAGTTTCAAGATTAAATTCAAGATTACTTTGATTACTCTTGTTCCACAACATCCAGTACTTGTGGTCGGCCCATGAGATGGTGGGAGTATCAGGGAGAATTAGGTAATAGTTGCTGTAGATTTTTCTTATGCTGCAAACAAACATGCGATATTTGAAATAACCAAAACAAACACGCCCCTACCCAAAAAAGATCACATCCCTATTTTGATAGCTCTGCCCCCAAATCATGAGTGGAAACGCCCTTTACTGGTGATTGGCTGCAAGTGTGTTTTGGTGCTCAGTCCGATCAACTTTCAACAGCTTTTCTCTTTTCTCAGAAATGGCTTACTGCACCTTTAATCTGACCTAATGAAATCTTCTATTCCCTAAACCCCTTATAAAAACTTGCACGCATGATCATTCGTATATGTTCATAAATTCCTCATGGGGACTGTTGGCTGTCACCACAATGTTTTTCTATCTTTGTAAATATTAAAGCCACCTGACCCCCACATAAGGCAGTTTGCGGTAATATAGCTCAATATGGCGTGTAGCGTACAGCTCCAGCCTTAAGACCTGCAGGAAGTACATTTTTGCTGTCCCTTTCAATCCACTGCCTCAGCGGGCCATGTATTTAGCGGTCTAAGGTTGGTGGGCATTTTGGTGTCCCAGAGAAAGCAGTTAAAAGATGCAAAACCGAGAAGTACTTAATGTTAGCATACCTCTTCCAGATGTCTTGTGGTTGAGCTGCACGTTGTATCTATAGTTCCATTCTGAGTCGTGCAGGATTGTAAGGTAATTCACCAAATGAATCTTTAATGAGGACATTTTGCAGTGAATTAATGTATTTATGGTAAAAAAAAAAATTCTTGTCATTGATGGCATACTTCTGTGCTCCATGTGTACTGTGAGAAATGTTTTCCTGTCTATGAAAAAAACCTAAATCTTCTGACACTACTTTTAGAAATAACCCATCTGTGGTATCACTGCTTCACGAAACATGCCCAGAAGCTGGTGACCCTGATTTCACCAAGTACAACGTTCCTGGATCAACATCCTTGTTTATCCTGGAACATCATTCCAATTAACCAATCAGAATTGAGGGATACTTTTTCAGGAAATGTCTGTTTTAGGCTTACAATCAGGGTTAGGTGCTTCTACACCCTTGTTAATCAGCTATCATTTCACACTGATTTTAGGAATAAATTATGGGTAGGGATTGGGTTTAGTCTATACTATTGGACAGTAATGTTGATCCAGGATCAACAAAAGATGTTGATCCAGGAGCATGTCTTGGCAAAATCACAGCGACCCCCAGAAGCTATCTTATTTGTTTGCATAAAAAAGCTAAAAACTCAAAATATTTTTTCTGTATGTGCATGTGTGCTAAGTTTTCACGCCCTGCCTAGTTAGATATACTGCGCATTGCGTAATAACCTGCGCATCAATTCATTATGTAACGCAAGGACAGAGCGTGCATTCATCCCTCTCCGCAAATCATTTTGAATCCCTCTCCTGATCTAAGTGAATTTTGAAGCAATTACACTCTCTTTGTCTCTCTCATTCTAGTCTACTATTTCCTACGTCAAGCATCGCGAATATAATTAAACCAAATTTAATCTAACAGGATATGCGCTGGAGCTCATGAATAATTAACCAGCCTCGAATCAAAAAGTTGGCAGTGTTTGGCTTGTTTATTTGCAGGCACTTGTGGTATACCCTAACTGAAACACAATCACACACACATATTGCAGGATTGAAGTGAACGATAAGCAGGCTTGACTCGCAGGTGCAGTGGTTTGAAACGACCTTCATCAGATGAACTAAGGCTTGTCAGGCCCACTAATAAATCCCATTTATTTTATGTAATCCAGACTTCAGATAGAGCGAATTTCAAGGTGAACCTTGCGGTAAACTTTTGTCTGTCTTAAAGTGCGATCTGAACTCTCAGTTTCCATTATTGACCTTTAGTTGTAAGTCTGTCAAACAGCTTGGGAGTAAGTGGACTAGACATTGTGTTTACTCCCTGCCAACTCTGTCCTTGTTTGAAGAGCCTCTATGGACATCTCCAAAGCCAGCACTTTCATTTACTCAGCAGAGACAAGCACGGACTAGAAGACACACGCAAGAGCCAAAGTCAATTCAGTTAAGAGTGTTTCTTAAAAAAAAAAAAAAAACGAGCATATACACATCAGGTCGCACACACATCACCTCAAAACATACTGTCTTTATTCAAATTTACAAAAAAGAAAAGGAAAAAATACAACAGAATAAATACATTTTTAGTACACACCATTGTGAGACCTCAGTACCAACAGGGCCCACTCGGGGCCACATCAATGCAGTCCAGCAAAAAGGCAGAAACCAGGATGAATGCAGTAACTGCACACCCAGATTACAATTGACCTAATCTACCTGAAAAAAGTTGGCAATGACACAGGAAGGAATCAATTGAATGTGTGTTAGTGTGTACGCTAATTATGTAATTATCGTTAAAGCTATCATTCTTGGTGTGAACGGGCCTTTATTCCTAATCAAATCAGCTCTAGGGGATCTGCTTTTCTTTAATCATTCTTCTTAACATACACTAGTATAGACATTAATATTTCCTATAACCTTTTTAGGCTCACATTTTGACAAAGAATGACATTTGTTGGGTTGTTTGGGAAGGTGTGGGTTCGTTCGTACTGCATGAAGCGCCCTGGTATTGGTGCACATGATTGTGCAGTGGAACAGTGGTTCTGGTTCAGTCCAGTCACAGTGAGTCCTTGTGGCCACAGACAATGTGATTAATCAGGAGTGTGAGCTCATCCCAGAAAAAGGACTTCATATATATTTATTTGGAGCTTCTGCATTCAATTCAAGTAAAAATAAATGTTCCGTTCGGGAAGAGCAACACATCCGACATCGTACTGTGGCAGTGTTTACTCTGCTTCAGTCAATCCAGTGTCTTCCAGTTATATCCAGTGGATTTTGAAGTGGCATTATATATAATCTTCTCAGTTTTCATTTTATTATAATTTTTTGTTACTTGAAGACTACAGTACTGTTGTCACTTTTCACAATGGCATTCAGTGATATTTACATTTAAAAAGCATTTACATAGAACATCTTTTTCATGTTTTTTTTCCTCCAATAAAAAAAACAACAACAACAACATTTGTAATTTATTTGCGAACATCATGTATAAAAGTGCATTCTAGCTGAAGCAGACCTGTCAGCTCTCATAAATCTTCACTTTTTAAATGTGGGATTTTTTTTTTTTGACAAGTAATTGTTGTTTGTGCATATGTTTTGCACAATTTTAGCATCACTACATTTTAATTTTGTCATCTTTTTTTTTTTTTTTCTTGAGCAACTTCATATACAATCTGTTCTTGGCAAAAATGTGTCATTTTGAACCCTGACAATGAGACATCCGCAAAGCAGAATTTCCAAGCAGGGTTTAAAATTGATGCGTGTTTGTTTTCATCTGTGTGTATGTGTAAACACCGAGAACCTTTGTGCAGACACTTATTCAGGACTTTACTGTAATATTCAGTGCTTTCTTGTGAATAATTCAGATCTCTTGCTTTTGTGGCTGTATAAGCAATTTCTGTACAAATATTAATTTTTCTATTTCCTCGTGTGTTGCCATACCTTTTTATCTGTGTTATTCCGGCCTTGTGTTTCTCATTCCCCCGTGGTGCCGTTGTCTTTCACGCTGCCACAAAAATTCGAGTTGAAATCTTGTTCTTTCTCTATCGTAATTAAATGTGATCTGGAATACAGTGAACTTTGCTTTTCGCTTACTGCCAAACACACTTAAGGAATGTTAAATGCTGGCTAAAGAAGCACCGCTCTGTGCTCACACATCAGCTTTTCAGCACTTATTGCTTCAAATTGCATCAATCACTCTCTCCACTGCCTTTGCTCTCTCTGTTCATTTTTCCCTGTCTTCCCTTATTACCTTTCCTCTTTGTCTCTCCCTCCTTACCCTTCACTTTTCATTATTCCAGCTCTTGTTGCCTTTTAATCACTGTCCCACCCAACCCCTCTCCTTCTCGCTCTCTCAGACATTCGCCTGCTCCTCGTCTCCAGACTGCTCACCCTTCTCTTCCCATTCGATATCTTTGTGCTTTTTGCCGGCTTCTACATCTCCTTCTTTATCTTCTCCGTTCTCCTTCTCCCTTTCCCTAAAAAGCTGGGCTAATTTCTGGAATTGTGGGCCCCAATCCTCCAGACCTGATCCCCACACCTCCTTCTCGGCGTCTTTGCCTCCCTCACTGTCCAGGGAGCTGAGGGACCCGGCGCGTGAGCCTGTGCCTTCCAGCCCGTACACCTGCACCGAGTCGTACGGTGGCTGCGAGGGGTCAAAGGTCACCTGCGCAAGGCGCAGACGCAGGAACTCGCCAACCCTTAGGGCGAGAGAGTGAGCACCTCCAATGGGCGCCCCTCTTCCGGACTCCTCAGGTGCTGAGGGCCATGCTCCACCATAACCCAGGATGCCCCCAAAAGCTCCCCGGCCCTGGCTGGGGTATGGAAGCAGCTGGGGCGTCATATCCCTCCTGCCCAGCGGGTACCCGGTTATCCCCACCCGTTCGTGCCAGTCTCCCATGAACCCGCCACCTTCCGGATATATCCCAGCACTCAGTGGAATGCTGGCCTCTCTCTCGGGCCGTCCCACCACAAATCCGCTGCCCATCTCCAGCCCGCCCCGTCCCAGAGTCCCCGAGTAGTCCCTCTGCTGCTCCCCCTGCAGGATGGTGGCGTAATTGCTGCAGACCGACTGCATTTCTGTGCTTCCGTTGGGAGCGTCTGCCACCCCAGGATGGTTGGACTCGGCAGGTCCAGCGCCGCTCCTACTTCGGGAAAGACTGCTCCGCGAGGAGTGCCGCCCAGCTCGGGGCAGCGTGGCGGAGTCACACACCCAACTGCTGGTGGGGCCTGGCCCAGCTACTGAGCCAGAACGGGTCAACACCAGCTCTCGTTCACGGGGAGCCATGTCTGGCTGGACCTGTCGGGGACGGGGAGGAGCAGTAGGGTTAGAGCGGGAGGTAAGGATGAGTTTATTCTTCTGTTATTCAGCAGAGGGACGTGTGTGAGAGAGAGGATTGTTAAGAAAAGGAAGAGAAAGCAGAAGATATTTCACAATGAGCAGGTGAAAAATGTGATAACAATGAAGTGAGACAGTAAAGTGTTAGTGAGTAGAGGAAGTGACAAAGTCAGACAGATGGAGAGGGAGAAACAGTTGACAATAGCTGAACCAGGTTAATTGAGCTCTAAAAAGAGCTAATGCTGCACTGTGAAATGAGGATGAGGAGAAAGAGACAATATGTGAAAATACACCTTCATCGTCAACCTGTTCTGCACCTACAAGAAAAAAAACTAGCAAAAACTAACCTACCAGCTATCTAGGGATGTGCAAAACAACATATTTTCACATATAGGATGTGCTCTCCTCACTTTTAATAAATCAAAAATTTGTCTCTTTCAGTGGGTAAATATAGGTGCTTTTCCACTGCATGGTACGGCACGGTACGGCTCGCTTCTGGAGGGTTTTCCACTGTGTACAGTACCTGGTACCTGGTACTTTTTTCAGTACCACCTCAGCTGAGGTTCCAAGTGAGCTGTACCGTTACCAAAATGTGACGTGTAAATCCTGCTGATCACTGATTGAACTTGTGACACGAGACACTAGACTTGCTAGATTAAATCAGCACAGCCAGCGAGGATTTTTTTGAACGAATGCAAGTTTCGAATGAGCGTACCTTTTTTTAAACAACAAAATAATGGCTGTTTCGTGGTCTGTTGAGGAAGTACAGACGTTCCTCTCGTTGATAGCCGAGGAGCGGATCCAGCAAGAGCTTGATGGGACGACATGGAATGAAAAAGTTTTATCGACATGTCTATAATCCCGCTCACTCTAAAGCGGTACTAAACAGTGGAAACGCAAGCTGAGCCGAGCTGTACTGTGCAGTGGAAAAACGCCATATGTCTGCATTGTGTATTTAAATGTGTATATGTTTAAAATCAGACATTAAAATTCACTAGAATTCACATCACTGCATGATGGTATGCATGAATTTCCATGGCAGCAAGTAACTTACAACAATATTTTGTTGCAAATCAAAATTGTACAATTTTTTAATTACACATGGCTTTCTGCAGTGTAATTTTCTTTTTAAATTCACGCTTTTTCAGTTAAAACTGGATCTCCGTGTGACAACTGTCCCAGAGAAACACAAATCGTGAAATTAATATCAATATCAAATGCAAAATTGTTTCCCAGTCTCTAGTTCAAGGAATGTTTATTAGACATAATACATTAATACTGATTCGATGCTGTCGGAGTGTGACTGAGAAGCGAGTCTTTGAATTAAAATTAGCCATACACTTTCTTTTTTTATTAGGCTCTGTGTTCACGTTCGGTTTACTAAAGCTGTTTAACTTATCCAGCCAAAAGCAACGATAGGTTTTCTAATTGCCTTGTCAGTATTGCTGTTTGTTTGAAAGTCCATTCATTATTAAACAATAATGTATGATTTAAAGGTCTCTGGGGAATTAAATAAATCAATTTAATTAGCTCCCTTTGGTTTTACCCCAAATACTGGCTATAAAAGCAACTTTGTGATTCTGAACATGGTGATTCTAAGCTTCTTAAATAAATAATAAAGTATGTTGTTTTACCCAATCCAGATCTTGGCTTTGACTCTGACTCTGCTGGGCATCACTGCTTGCATCGTCCTTTGAGTCATTCTTCCTTGGCGTTCCTCCCTCAAATGTGGTGGCTCCATCCTGAGATGCTGTCCCTTCTTTAGAACCATGACTGGCTTCTGCTGTTGGCACATAAATAGCCCCGGGCTCCAGAGGTCCAACCACAGCTGCCTGGTTTTGAATGACTAGAGAATGGTCTGGTTGATTCCCAGGTAAGCGGTACGCCAACTCAGATATGCCAGGCTCATAGGGGCCCTGTGAGCGACGCAGCACTGGGAGGGTGTGGGTGCTGTAGCAAAACCGCCCATATAGAGGGGCTCCTTGACTGGCGTACTGCCCGGGGTCCATCGCTCCAGCCTGAGCCCAGCTGCTATACGTCCGAGACTTGTCCTGACCATGTTGTGAATAACGTCTGAGGGAACACAGAATTTATCATGAAAGGAAGTTTTATGCAGATAAAATAAAATAGAAAATAAATGGCAGCATCACAAAAGTAGTCCATATGACTTGTGCAGGATATTTCAAATCTTGTGAAGACATACAATAGCTTTGTATTAGAAACAGACCAAAATACAAAGGTTATTCACATGAAATCTTCCCATCTGCCATGGCTTTCATGAGTCATGAAAAATGACAGATTGTGATAGTTGCTTTTTTTTTTTTTTATATAGAGGGGCTCCTTGACTGGCGTACTGCCCGGGGTCCATCGCTCCAGCCTGAGCCCAGCTGCTATACATCCGAGACTTGTCCTGACCATGTTGTGAATAACGTCTGAGGGAACACAGAATTTATCATGAAAGGAAGTTTTAAAATAAAATAGAAAATAAATGGCAGCATCACAAAAGTAGTCCATATGACTTGTGCAGGATATTTCAAATCTTGTGAAGACATACAATAGCTTTGTATTAGAAACAGACCAAAATACAAAGGTTATTCACATGAAATCTTCCCATCTGCCATGGCTTTCATGAGTCATGAAAAATGACAGATTGTGATAGTTGCTTTTTTTTTTTTTTTGGTTTTTAGTCATAGTTTAATTACGTTTTACCTGTATGTTTTTCTCGAGTTTGTGTGCAGCCTCAGGAGAGGTAATGTGATAAATGTGATAAAAGTCACAGCTCACAGGTGTTTCAGATGATGTGGTCTGCTGGGAGCTCACACTCTTCAGGCCTACTTCTGCTTTTGTTTGCTGTGCGCCTTTGATTTGCGCTTTAAACGGATTAAACGGATTTATTTCTCTAAAAACAAAACCAATGTAAAAATTAAATGTGAAAACTTACCAATTCTTTGTAACATTTCAGCATAAAATAAACAATGATCAACTCATCATTCATCATAGACAATGGAATTATTACATCCCAAAAGAAGTACAGTGCCTGCTAAAAGGCTGCGATTTATTAAAATAAATCACTATAAATACGATTTGCATGGTTTTTAAGGGTTTTGCAGAAGATTTTGACTTGTGCAGGATATTTCAAATCTTGTGAAGACATACAATAGCTTTGTATTAGAAACAGACCAAAATACAAAGGTTATTCACATGAAATCTTCCCATCTGCCATGGCTTTCATGAGTCATGAAAAATGACAGATTGTGATAGTTGCTTTTTTTTTTTTTTTGGTTTTTAGTCATAGTTTAATTACGTTTTACCTGTATGTTTTTCTCGAGTTTGTGTGCAGCCTCAGGAGAGGTAATGTGATAAATGTGATAAAAGTCACAGCTCACAGGTGTTTCAGATGATGTGGTCTGCTGGGAGCTCACACTCTTCAGGCCTACTTCTGCTTTTGTTTGCTGTGCGCCTTTGATTTGCGCTTTAAACGGATTAAACGGATTTATTTCTCTAAAAACAAAACCAATGTAAAAATTAAATGTGAAAACTTACCAATTCTTTGTAACATTTCAGCATAAAATAAACAATGATCAACTCATCATTCATCATAGACAATGGAATTATTACATCCCAAAAGAAGTACAGTGCCTGCTAAAAGGCTGCGATTTATTAAAATAAATCACTATAAATACGATTTGCATGGTTTTTAAGGGTTCTGCAGAAGATTTAAGGCAGAATTAAAAGTAGGGATGCACAATTTGGAGCAAACAAAAAGTGATTTTTCTGATAAAAATTTAATGGTTTCTTAAACAGCTCCAGGTTTGCTGTGCTTGTTTGTAGGGCTGCATTTGTCCAAAAATATTGTGATTATATATCAATATGACTATAAAATATAATAATCATATTTATTATTATTATTAATAATTATTATTTAAGAAAAATATAATAATAATATTTACAACAGTTTTATTTTACAGTACAGCTACAAAATTACAATACCAACATTTATGGCTGTCTTAATGTATTTTCAAATGTTAAAACTTAAATAGTGTAGTATGGAAAAGAACAGTCAGGACATTCCGTTCAACATCTCCTTTTGTGTTCCATGGGATGAAAAACAAAACATACAGACTTCAAACAGCATGAGTAAATTATGCCAGAATTCATTTCGGGGTGAACTAGCCTTTTAAGTGCATTGAGCACTTCTTTATTAATGTGCAGGAAACATGAGTTGATGTAACAGATGTAGCCGATGTAATCTTTCATCAGATGCGCCCTGCTGAGCACCACTCACATGTTCCTGCTGTCCAGGGTGCGGTAACCCCTGCGTGCGTTATGTGGGGCGCTCTGCAACGCTGTGATGTCAAACGCAGCTGTGTCAGCCTCACCCCCTCCTTCATCATCATACGTGATGATATTCTCTCTTACATCATCCTCCTCTAAAGGCGAGAGCGCGTCCCTTTTCTGCCTGCGCAGGGACAGAGACAAAGCACTGACAGCTAGAGAGAGAGAGAGGAGAAAGAAAGAGGGAAAGAAAACAGTGAGAGATGAAGAGAAAAAGAGTAAGCGTTTTATGATGCCATTTATAAAAAGGGAGGACGTGTATGTTTGTGTTGGGTGACAAAATTTTGCAATAAAATTGCATGGTGCTACAGAAAGGCAGGTACTCAATAGACACATTAGAGCAGCTGGCAAACTAACACTTACACAGACTGATGCCCCATAATTACATTTATTACACAGCTCTAGGGAATTCTCGATTCTGATTGGTCAATCGTTGCATCCAGTGGTCTGACGGTTTCCTAATATTCACCGTCATCAATGACAATGCTGTATATAAGAGCGTTCATCCAAGTGACCTAAACAGGCACTACTTTCATGGACTTGCGCTCTCTCATTTGATATAAACACAATTGCCGCCATTTTATTTACCCTAATGTCAATTATCTCAGATGACTTCAGTATAAATACTGTATTACTGTAATATTGTTAAAGTGTTCTTCTTGTTGCTAAGCCTATTGTTTTGTACACCGTAGCGGTATATTTATTTTTCTATACTATAGAGGTCAGTGTTTTTTTTATTATTTCTATACTAATATAGTATTTACTAATATTTTGAAACTTTTATTTAAATATATTTTTTATTATTTAGTTTGACTAATTTTGGATCTTCAGCTTATTTTATTTCAGTTAGTTGCCAAAGCAACATTTCTAATTTTCATTGCAGTTTTTATTTTATTTCAATTACAATGATTATTTTAATACCTTTAGTTTCAGTTTAACAATAACAACACAGATAAAGGTAAAATTACAAAATAATTTAAACTCAGATGTGCTCTGAGTCTTGGTCCTGATCACACTGTCTGTGTTTATTTTGCAATAATGATAATCTGACTGTACATTACCATTACCATTTGGAAGTTGCACTAAACTTACCCAAAAGAGTGGCCACACAGGCTAAAATGGCCAGCAGGGCGGCAGTGCTGAGTCCAGGGGAGGGCAAAGAGGAGTGCTGGGGCAAACAAACCGTCTCTCTGTCCCACTCTGCCTCACTTTGCTTCTCTTTCTCTCCGGCCCGGGCTCCTCCCCTCAGACAGGGACATACGGACACTGTGACTGTCCCCGTGCTGGTCAAGCCAGAGACCCCGTCCCTCAGGACCAGCGGTACGTAGAGAGTGAGGGAGGATGAAGCAAAGCGAGACAGTGTCTGCAAAGGTGACGCCAACACCAAACTAGCAGTGTGGCCTAGAAAATGAGAATAATAGCAAAGAAATGGAGATACACAGGAAAAAAGGGGGGCTTTTAGATCAAATTGAACTCGATGGAACTTTAATTTAATTGAACTCAATCGAGTGCAGTTTAATTCCATTGCTGCTCATATAACATTTGTACAGACCAGTGAGTCCAAATGCAGCATGAATGCCAGAGCACATTTTGTCTGTGTGTGCCGGGAGAAGATAGATGTGGCAGAGTAGCAAAAGCAAACAATAGGGAAAACAAAGGAGCAAGGCACAAAGCAGCCACACAATGCGGTTGCAGACAAAGACTAACGGATCAAGAGAGATGCCGATGCTCATGGCTGGGTGGGAGAAACAAATTGTGGAAGAGACTGCAAACCTCCACTCTCCCTGATGCTGAAGTTGAGGGCAATGTTGGAGTCCGGAGGGATGTTGAAATGGACGGTGCTGTCATTTCCTCCCTCGTCTCTATCAATCGCCCGCAACACCTGCACCACCTGAGAAAATGAGATAGGAGAAAGATGGAGAGAGAGAAAAACAAAATAAGGGGCAGAGCCAAAAGGGAGGAAGGGGAGAAAGAGAAGGAGAGCAAAAGAATAATGGAGAGAGAGAGGAGAGATTCATTTAAAAAAAAAAAAAGATCCACATTTTAATCTCAGATATCAGCATTAACCTCACCAGCACCTTTGCAAATAGGTAGCTAGAGACTGATTAGCCCGCAGTCAAACAATAATTAACTCTGACCGAGTAGCAAGCCTTGGGGAACACCCAAACATAGACACAGCTTTAGCATGTGCTCTAAAAATGAGGCACCGACTCCAGAGATCCACTTAAACTACAAATAATCACTCGATGGGTCTGTTTTTGCAATGCTCCCCCCACACATTAGGGAAAAAGTTCAAACAAAAATGGGCCGTTTGATGCAGATCAGAGCTGTGGGTTAGGCAGTTCTGCTGAGGCATGAAAAAAGTTTTTTTTTTCTGTGATTTCAGAGCTGCACGGTGATAATGTCAAGTCACATTAGTAGTTTTCATATTCTAAAGGGTCACCAAACTTTCCTCTCCATAATGTGACTTGCAGTAAGAAGTTATGCAAGCTTCCAGTAAGATCTTCCAGCATTCAGTAAGACCTTTTCTCCAAAGGAAATTACACTGTGCCCTAACAAGATAAATCGAAAAAGGGACCTCTTCGGTCTCAATGAGAGTTTTTGTCATAACCAGCTGCAATCACAAGCAACCGGTAAGACAACAGTTTGTTGGTCATTTGGTTGATAGGTCTTCTACATTGCATCTAGTTGCACCACTCACATTGAAATTTACACTAAATATACAATATCGTTAAAAAGTTTAGGAGTCAGATTTTTTTTAAGGAATTGCTTTTGTTCAGCAAGGATGCATTAAAATGACAAATGTGACAGTACAAATGTTTATAATGTTGCAAAATATTTCTATTTCAAATTTTCAACATTGATAATAATAACCCCAAATCAACATATTAGAATGATTTCTGAAGAATCACGTGGCACTGAAGATTGGAGAAATGGCTGCTTAAAATACAGCTGTCACAGGAATAAATTTTAAAATATGTTAAAATAGAAAACAATTAAAAAATGTACAAATCCCACTGATAAAACATCACTGAAATCATTAAAATACAAACTATGTGTTCTTAGTTGTATGCTCTTCAGCTGCAGCACGTTGCGAGTGAAAGAGTTTGCAAAATGAGACACATCGTTCTGATTGGCTGCAATTTGTTGTTTGTTTAATTGTTTCAAGCCACATCCTTTTTTGCATTCAATATGAACAGACAAATCAGACTGATATCAAACTTAAAGTGCATGTAAACCCATCCAATGTTGCTCCAGGACCAACAAGGTTAATAATAACGTTGATCTAAGACCTACTAATCCTAATTGGGGAAATCACAATAAGTTTTCATTTGACCATAAGCTGTGAAGACAGCGGAATGATGAAGACAGGAGAAAGGACACAAGCTATGACAGCTTCACAGCTGCATGCCACCCAATTAAGAGTTAAAGAAAAGACATGAGTCAGACAAGGGGAAAAAAACACTACAGAATCATGGAAAGACAGGCACTCGAAATGAATGAGAGAACTGGAATGAGAGGCAAAATGGATGGAAAGCCAACAGACCAAAAGATGAGCAAATTATAATGTATATCTATAGAGGAGATGAGAACGCATGAAGCATCCTGTAAATGAGAACAGCAGTGATTCAGCTGCAGGGTAATGGCAGAACAAATCAATCAGCGTGCAGGCTGTATAAATGGACACATTCACAGATGTGTTAAAAAAAAATGACTGAAAAAAAAAAAAAAAAAAAAAGATGCCAGAATTTTCAGAATTTGGGGGTAAACTGTTATGCTTTAAACCTGTGGAACAGCAGTGATTCAGCTGCAGGGTAACGGCAGAACTAATCAATCAGCGTGCAGGCTGTATAAATGCACACATTCACAGATGTGCTAAAAAAAAATGACTGAAAAAAAAACAAAAAAAAAAACTTTAAGCACCACCAAATCCATATGAACACAAAGAGCGTGAGTCAGTGAGTCTAAAGGGCTGAAGGTCTGAGAAAAGGTAATTAATCACCCATAATTAATCTGTGACAATTACCTAATTGCAGAGCTTAACAAAAGGACTCTCATTAGAGCACTTCCTGTGCTTTTACATTCTGGTGGAGTAACAAATGAACTAGTCATTGGAGACAAGTATGACCTTCCTTGCATCCATTATAACATGTGGCTTGTTCTCTCACCTGTCCCTTGGAGGCCGAGTCACACATGGCCGTGGTGTACTGCCTGTCCAACTCGGGTGCATTGTCATTTAAATCCAATGTTTCTACGGCAACCACCACCCTAGACACCTGGCTGGGGTTATCTGAGGAAGTTGAGAGAGCAGAAAAAGGAAGTCACCAAAAATACACACGCACAACACAGCTTGAGACATGCTTGCCTTGAGTCTCGGCCACTGAAGGTAAATTGTCCTCTTGTAAAGTTTATCACACACTTCCATGTGCACGTTTTTAATGAGAAATCATATGCTGAATGGCGAAATTTTTTACACAATCATGCTCTTTTCCCAAACCTAGTGAGCTGGCTAGCATTTGTTGTAATACATCACACATGAAAACATTTCAAGTAGCTTCAATATAGCAGACTACTGTACTTTTTCCCATGTAGATTTTAGTGCAATTAGCTACTTCCCCGATGGGCAAATGGTCAGAATGCTAGGTAGCAGTAGCATGGCACCTCACTAGGTTTTGTAAAAGAGAGTTTCGCAAAGATTTCAACAGCCTCTCTTCATATTCTAGACGAATGGCTTGTCGTGACAAACAAATAGCTTTCAGGAGCTTTTAATTCAGAATAGTTTTCAGTTGGCATATTGGTACAGTTTAGGTTGCACTGGAAAACAAATTTAATGGACTGGTGTGAGCCTAAAGAGAAATTGAAGCATTCTGTCTCTCTCATTATAATTCAGTCCCACACACTTGCCTGTGGTTTGGACTGCTTTCACACAAATGTTTTGGACTGGATCCACACATACACATAGAGCTGTGACATGATGTTGTGGATTAGTGCCCACTGCTTCACATTACTGGGAAAAGGCTTCGCCTACAATAGCCATCAGGCCTCCCTGAAGCTGCTTAGACCTACTTTCCATACTGTAACACAGCACCATAGATCCTCTAGTAACATGCCATCTCCCCTGAGCAGTACAAATTCAATGTATGTTTAAAGCATTTAATCCATGCATACATAATAAATAAATCATAAAAAACACAAATCCATTAAATTTTAGCCATTGATATTGCAACCTTATAAACTAGACAGTTTTGAGAGAAGAGGACATAATGTAAAGGTTGTGATCAGTAATGTTGCAAACTGAATTTGAACTTGTTAGCATCACTATATTTACTAGTAGACACGGTGGCATGAACATTTTCAACCAGTATTAAGCATCCTCGACATAATGATCAGAATGCCATACTGCTGATGTCCAAGTCAGTGTACCTTAGGGAGTTATGAACTATAAATAGCAATGCTAACATTTTCCAGTAGTGACAGTAGCTCTGCAATTTTCAAAATAGTGCAGCTTTTCCAGTAACAAGCTACTTTTGAAACGCGCTGTGGTGTAGCGTGACAAATCACTGTTTTTAATGTCACATTATATTGTGTACACAGCCGAGCAAACTGAGGCATTAATCTAACGTGCTCTCCTGAACTGTATTCTCTCTTAAAAGTACCAACATTGGAAAGTCGGAGTAATTTTAGTGATTTAAACTTAAGCATATGTAAAATACTTAAATATATATAATTATTTCTCAATAAAAAGAGGCAGTGATTTCTGCACAAAGACATGATTCGATGATTTGTTTCTTTTCAAACTGGTTCATTTCCACTATCCAAGCAAACCTTTCCAAAAGGAAATGATTCACTGATTCATGCCTGTGTGCAGCAGTGTTGTTAGTGTTAACTAAAAAACATTTTTGTTAAATTAAATAAAGCTGAAATAAAATAAAATGAAACGTAAATATTAGACAAAAAACATTCAAATTAAAATTATGAAATGTTGCCTTGGCAATTAACTGAATCAAACTGAAAGCAAATTAAAGCTACATAGAATATTAAAAAAGAGACAAAATTACAAAAACTACAATTAAAAGGAAACCTGAAAAGAAAATCTAATTCTAAATATTAATAAATACTAAAATAGTATATAAAAATACTAAAATAAAACTGATGTGCAGAAGTCACTGCCCTTTTTGTTAGATATATTTAGATATATACTAGATATATCTAACTTAGATACATTTAGCAATATTATAGTAATATTTAGCTATATTCTATTTTTGTTGTTATTGTATTACACTATGTTCAAGTGTAATGCTCTCACCCTAATCAAAACATACTCATTCAGTGATTCAGAAACTTCTGAGCTCTGATTAAATTATATAACTGGACAACTATATATGGATATTCATCCAATTATATTAATTATATTATTATATAGCTTCCATATAGTTAGCTACTTTTATTTGTAGCTTGTGATATAGCTCACTACTTCCCTAAAAGTGTGACTCTGTGTATGTACCTCTCTGTGTGGCAATGATGGTGATATTGTGCCACTGCTCGTGCTCACGGTCCAGCTCGGTCACCGTAGTGATGAGTCCGGTGTCTGGAGTGATGCGGAACAGAGCTTCTGGGTCAGACTGAGGATCGATGGAGAACCTTACACTATGTTCAAGTGTAATGCTCTCACCTTAATCAAAACATACTCATTCAATGATTCAGAAACTTCTGAGCTCTGATTAAATTATATAACTGGACAACGATATATGGATATTCATCCAATTATATTAATTATATTATTATATAGCTTCCATATAGTTAGCTACTTTTATTTGTAGCTTGTGATATAGCTCACTACTTCCCTAAAAGTGTGACTCTGTGTATGTACCTCTCTGTGTGGCAATGATGGTGATATTGTGCCACTGCTCGTGCTCACGGTCCAGCTCGGTCACCGTAGTGATGAGTCCGGTGTCTGGAGTGATGCGGAACAGAGCTTCTGGGTCAGACTGAGGATCGATGGAGAACCTGAGGGAGACAGAAGATAAAAAAGACAAATGGAGAGGGAGAACACAAGAGGTGAGCAGATGCATGAAGCCCCAGCTCATCAGAAAATCTGTCATTCAGGAGCTGCTTTAAGCCCAGGAGCGGAAAACAAAAGAGCCGTGATTGGCAAAGTAAGGATTCTCAGATCCCTAACTACTGTTAAAATAACTATAGCTCACTAGGATGAATATTGATCATTCCATGTGGAAACACGCCTTGTAACAAGAATACCCTAATCTCTGTGATAATGTTTTGAAGTGTTTTAACATAAGACACAGAATAGCATACAACCATAATTAATTAATGACATTATGGCTCTGTTCCAAAGCCTACTAAGCTGCCTACCCAGACGGCTGCTTTAAGCATCCCAGGCACGTTCCTGATGCGAAGGCTGTTCCAAACAACAGGCAGCAAAATTATGCTGCCTTTTTAGATTCCTCTCTAGAGCCAAATTCTAAAGCAGCATGTGTTTCCACTGTTAATAACTTTGTGAATTTAGCAGTTTTTTTTATTTAATTTTTTTTTTAATTGTAATGTACATTTAAGACACTATACTTTGTGTTTTATTACATTAGCATTGATTAATTCATTAACGCTGCTGTGTGAGTGTTTCTCTCCTCTGACCAATGAGATCCATCTCTTAACATTTTGTCATTTTTTTGGAAAGCCATATGTGGAAATGGTATGTGGACTTTTTCTTTTGAAATATATACACACACACACACACACACACATATATATACATTTATTACACGGCGCTGTGGAATACTTGATTCTAATTGGTTAGTCGCGACATTCCGAGGTATGTTATCCCTTGTTATTACACAACTGTGGAATACTTGATTCTGATTGGTCAGTCACGACATCCCTCAATAACAACCGGTAAAAGCTGATAACACAGGCTCATCCGGGTACCTGAAGTCGGCGCTGTACTCTTGCTAGGAACAGTTTTTCTTGGTGGAAGCTTTGCGTTTGGTTAGCTAATAAGATATTAAAACTCGATTCAATATTATGTGTACAATTATTTAATTACGTCATCCTGGTATCGCGGACCCGCTCTCTCGTTTCATACAAACGCAGCTGCTGCCATTTTGCGACGATTTTTTTGTACACTGTAATGGATTAAAAGAGAACTAACAAACTGGTAAGATTTTAAAACAGTTTTGTCTTAAATCAATATATTTTATCGCCTTAATTATTTATGTGGTGAAATTGTGTAAAAAGTGGTATGACTGCACCGTATCCCTTAATGACCGTCTAGTTTGAACCTGCCACTTGCTCGCAACTGTTGTCTTAATGGAAGCTTTGCGATCAAATATTTCAACTCAGTATTTCGTGTCTAATTATTTACTTATGTGGCAAGAAGCCGTGTAATAAGCGGTGTGTCAGGGTCCTGATCACCCTGTCGGGGGTTATTCTGCGATAACAACTGGCTGGATGTACATTATCCCTTACATATCTGTTGTAGTTTACATTCACCACTATAGCAGGGTTATTATAGTAAACTAAAATCATTAAAAAAATTGTTAGTTGATATAAAATAACCATTAACTGAAATAAAATAAAATATTAAAAAAGTATTATTTCTGCTAGTTGCCAATTAAACAATTTCTCATTTTAATTTAGTTTAATTTGATGTACTAAAATAACTAAAACTGAAATAATGATGAATTAGAACTATATATACACGTTTAAAAACAAATAAATAAATAAAAATGCACAACAAAATTACCAAAACATTGACTAAAATGAAAATGGAAAATATAATAACTATATATAAATAAAATAAAAAATATAGAAAAGATATAAATAAAATATAAACAAATATATTAAAAAACTAATTAAAAAATATTAATAATAATAGTATCTCAGTGATACTAAAATAACACTGCTCTATAGAAGTTTACCAAATTATGATAACTTCTGCTTCTGAGAACCCCGAAAATGTGGAAAAGGGTCCATGAGCTCAGCGAATATTTTCATTCAAGATGGTGCATGAAGTCATTTTATTCAGAACATAAAAGTTTTGATAAATACTTTAAACTACACATTCAGTGTAGTGAAAGAATGCAGTCTGTACCTGATGTTGTTTGTGAGCCCCGTATCTGGGTCCACGGCACTGACCCGTCCCACTGTGCAGGCCGGGGGGCAGTTCTCAGACACATCCATTCTGTAACGTGTCCGTGAGAAACGAGGGGGTTCATCTGCATCCAGCACGGCCACTCTGATCGAAGCACGATCTTTAAAAGGCCCACGCCGAAGGAACCGAGGGTCCACGATGGGGTTCAGAACCTCCATTGAGAAAGAGTAGGAGCTACGGCTCTCATAGTCCACTGCCTGTAAACCAAACAAAAACATGAGTATGAAACATAAACGTAATGACAAGACCGAAATGCTCATACTGCCCACATGAGCGCCACAACTGAACATTATCACACTCACCACATATCACAGCTCATACCACAACCACAACCTATAGAATCTATGTACAGGAAAATAAAAAAATAAAATCGATTTACTTTCTATAAGATGCAAAAGGGTGATAGAACTTAATGACATGATAGACTGTTCTTGGAGCGAAGCAAGAAAGAAACCCATCTGCTATGATAATACCTAATCAAATCGTTATATGTTTTTGGTGATGTTGTTGCTTGTGTTTGCAATATATGCTCCAACAATTGCATGACCTGAAAAGGCTGTAAAATTACAGTGGATAGAAACTGATGGGATAATAAATAAGCCAGTTTGCTATGCGAGTGGAAAATGTGGTGCCGATGGATCTTTGACATCCAGTTTAAACGTGAAGTGAGCAGTAAATTAAAGTGGATCGCTCTGACTATAATCAATGAAGCTGTCTATACCACAAGCTAGTTTTGTTGAGCTGCTTTCTGCAATAATCCATGCCCAGGGCGTCAACCTCACACTCCATCCCTGCCGACAATGATTTTGCTTTTAATTTGAACTACAAGCCACTATATGGTATTCCAAGAATAGCACATTCTGACAGACTTTAATTACTGTTTTTTTAATTATTATTATCAGAGTCTCCTCAAATGCAATCACGTTCTCTGATGAGGTTGGCCATGATAATGGCAGGATCAGGGCCCAGAATTTATTGTATTGTGACGAGTCATGGGATCTGGATCTGGCACTGGGAGGGTTGTGTGTGAAGCTGGCACACCAGGAATGAGTAATGGGCTGGTTTTGGCAAGAGTAGCTGGACTGGGGCTCAAGGAAGTCAGAAATGACTGGCTCATTACGACGGTCACTTTTGTTACTTCATTTATCTACACACACACACACACACACACACACACACACACACACACATTCATACACACTCGCCCTCTCTCTCCCTAATGCAAGACCACGTGGAGGTTGGAAGGAGTCAGTGGGGCACACATCGGTTTCCTCTGACAAGCCGAAGGACAGACTGAAATGAGTGAATTCTGAAATGAATTAAACTGTGCTGACTGGAGGACATCAGGTCACTGTGGTCACTACAAATCTCTGCCACTTTCACAGAGATCACATCAGAGTTGGACTCTTCGTCTTAAGGACTCTCATAAACATGGTCTGGGATTCATCACTTGGTATCTTGGCCTGGGTCTCAAAACTACAGGCAATGATCTTAGATTGTGGTCAAGAGACCTCAAGAAGTCATTCATAGAGCTGATTAACTCGATTGTAGGTCACTGAAGTGTCCAAAGAATTAGCAGAAAAAAGAAAGTCAAACAGGTCCCAAGTTACATGAGGGTTAATATATGACAACATAATTTTATTTGTAAGACAGAAAAAGACAGAAAGACATTTTTTAAATGAAACAGTTTCTTAAAACTTTAGGCAAAATCTAAAAAAAAAAAAAAAAAGTTGCTATGTTTTTGATGAGTATCATATTTAATACATTAGGCTTTGTTTGGCTCTTATAGCACTCCTAATCGAGGAGAAAAAAAATGAAAATACAAATCAAATATGATACAGTAGGGTCTCCACAAAAATTATTAAACAGCACAATTATTTTTTAATATTGATAACAATATGTCTCTTGAGCACCTAATCAGCATTTTAAAATGATTTTTGAAAGATCATGTGATACTGAAGACTGGAGTAATGGCTGCTGAAAATTCGGCTTTGCCATCACAGGAATGAATTACAAACGATAGTAGTATACAAGCTCACATAGACCAATAAACACTCTGCTATGAACTTATAAGCTGCAACAAGAAAGAAAGATTAAAATGACTCAATCAAATCAGTGGGTAGGGGACAGTTGAAGACAACTGAAATATAAACCTGAAAGGAACACGAAAAGAACAGAAATGAAGGTGAGAAAAAGAGGAAGATACCAATAAAAAGGGACAGGGAGTCAAGCCAAGAGAGAGGAAGAGGGATAAATGGAGAGAAAAGATTCCTAACAGGATCCCATTAGTGGCAGAGAGAGACAATCTGTCTGAGGAGGAGAGATGTCACTTACACTGTGAGCACACACTCATCACCCCATCCCTTCCTCTCTCACATACTCAATCACTCACTCTCTCTCCCTCCCTCTCTCATCACGCCATCACACGCTCTACGCCCCTCCTAGTGAGCAGCGGTCTGATACTGACATCTAGAATACACACTCATCTCTCTCTTACGCCTGTTTATAATAAACCTGGCAGAAAAGACCAGCCTGAATTAAATTCACAGGCTGGTTTATGCTAGTTTCATGCTGGTCTAGCTAGGAAACTGATTTTCTTTTTTTTTAGAAGAATCAGGAAATTCCTCCTCCTCTCTCTCCTGTTTCACTCTCCAGTTTCTCTGTTAAATGGCTCTCCAGTGGAATAGCAATTATGGAAAATTAATTAGGCTCTCTATAGGGTCCACTATTTGGCTATACTAAATTACGCTATATTCCATAACGCCATATGGCAGATCATCTAACTTTTCATTAAAATATGTACACTACCATTAAAAAGTTTGGGGTCGGTGAGATGTTTTTATTATTATTATTATTATTGTTGTCTTTTATGCTGACTGCCTTTATTTGATCAAAAATATAGTAAAAGCGGTAATATTGTGAAATATTACAATTTGTTTATTTTATTTTTATATGAAATTTATGTGATGGCAAAGCTGATTTTTCAGCAGCCATTCTTGAGTTTCACATGATCCTTCAGAAATCTTTCTAATATGCTGATTTGGTGCTCAAGAAACATTTATTACTATTATTAGTGTTAAAAACAGTTGTGCTGCTTAATATTTTTGAGGAAAAACCGTCATATATTTCCCCCCGGGATTCTTTGGTTAATTTATTTGAAACAGAAATCTTTTGTAACTTATAAATTTCTTCAGTCACGTTTAAACAATTTATTGAACTCTTGCTGAATAAAAATCATTTCTTTAAAAAAATTAAAATAAAAAATCTGACCCCAAAGTACCATGACAATATAAACCTGAAGACAAATCTATGGCTGTAAATAGAATAAAATGAATTTAATATTTAAACTTAACCCACTGCATCCCACCAAGAAATATTTAATGAGGGATAATAGCAATAATAATAATAATTTTATTTAAAATACATCTTTCTCATTCCCAATGCACTAAAACGCAAAAAATAATCAAAATTAAAAAGTGTAAATTAAATCACAGCTCTAGGTTAAATGAATAATACTGAAGAGAGGGCAAAAAAGCTCAAAATACCAATAGCATTACTGTCTGTCTCCATACAAAGAAATTCTCACGAATGCAGTCACAAATTCATGGTTTGCCCATATGTGTGGGTATTTGGATCTACTCTCTTTGTGAATTTCTGATTTTGCCCGGTTTCTCTTTGTGTGCACAAACATGTTGGCTCTGTGCTCAAAATCCTCTGATTTGTCCGCAGCATGTCTTTTGTCTACGTGCACAAATGCATTCATTCAAAGGTGACAGGCAGTCTTGAATCAGGTTGTCTTCCTGACACGACACCTGATTCACAGCCGCTCTCTCTCTCTCTGTCTCTCTCTCCCTTGTGTTTTAATTCGACTCTGGGACATTAAACCCAGATTATCCTTTGAAGCAATTCACACACACTACATTCTAACAACGTACTGCTTCCCTGCGCTCCCTCCTCGGTCTCCCCTTCATTCCTTGCAAACTTAAAGCTTACAAGCCTACATCTTCAAGTCCAAAAACCAGGTTTGATTCAATATTCCACTTTGACATCAATACTGGTTCAAAAAATCCATCCCTCCAATTATTTATTATAATTCTTCCCACAGTCCTTCATTGCTCCCTCAATCACTTTGTCTCAGAGAAGATTAACGCAGTCTCTCCTCTCAGAGAGAAAACAGAAAACAAACAGCACCACAGGTTAATGGCCATGGATTAGCTACATGGTTAAGGTGAGTATATATGGAAATAACTAAGGGAAGAGAGATTTACTGCATCCACAGCTGTTTCTAAAACTCAGCTGGCGGAGGATGACACAAAACAACAGCAAGGTCATGAGTCTGATTCTCAGGGAACACACGTGGATACAAATTTAGCCTAAATGATGCATGCACTGCATAAATGTAAATATAATGCAAGATTTGAACCTTCATCTTCAATTCTGCATCACAGATATTTACAGGAGGAAATTCATGTCCACGGCCTATGCTTAATTCATAGCATCCTATTTAGTTGCAAAAGTAATCACTCAGCTCAAACCTATAGATTGTTGCACCATTAGGTGGCACTGTTGGAAAGCTGTATAGGCCTATAGAACTACCGTTACAAAAAGGTGTTTAATGCTACTTTAGCATCAGTCAGTTTAAGGACAGTTGGTTGTACAACACTGCCACAAGAGATCACAGATGTGGATCTATTGCCGGCATATTAAATATTCAAATGTACACAGACCTCTTCCATCATAGCCCTGTGTAATGCAGCTCTCTCTCTCTCTCTCTCTCTCTCTCTCATACACACACACACAAACACACACACACACACACACAAACGCAAACACATAAACACAGACTTCCAGCAATCTGCATACGCTTAATCAGAGCAGCATGCCACCCACCAGCCCACACAAGCCGTTCTGTCTGGATAATTATGCCTCTGAAAATTCACTTTGTGTTGATTAGTCTAAGAACAGTGAATAATGATGTGTAATGCCAGCGTGGGGACAAAATATTAAACGAATAGTTCACCGAAGATTACAATTCTGTCATCATTTACTCACCCTCACATTGCTCCCAACTGCATGACTTACTTTCTTCCGTAGAATACACAAAATGTAATTTCTGAAGAATGCCTTGGGCACTGTAATGAAAGTGAATGTTATGTAATGATAGTGAATGCGACCCAGGCTGTCAAGCCCCAAATGA